GTGTCTAGTTTACATCCCTCGGCCAACAGAGGGGTGTAGTTTAGACACAGCCTAAGTTTGGAAAACTAGACGGATGAAAACTTTGTTCTAACTCATTCTTGTGAAGTTACTGGTATATCTTGACTCTGGTCAAGTCAGACCCAGAAAGCCCAGAAATAGAAGAAAATTAAAAATAACTAAAAAGGAAAAATAGCACGCTGCCTCAGTAATGTGGGAGCTGGCAGTATAGAAATGCCTTGGAGAGAAAGACAGAGAGTGTGAGAGAAAGAGAAACAAATTATCTGAACTTTTAAAATCTCAAACAAGGGTCATTTTGAAATTAGGATAAAATTACCAGTAGGCTTCTGATTTTACAAGCTGGTTCTCCCTTCCCTGTAATTTGCTGCATTTTCACTGTGTAGCACGGGAGTAATCTATTTAAAGTGTTCCAAAAAATTATTCAAGCAAGACTCCCCTGTCATAAATCCATGATTTCTGTCACCCGTAGAATTATGTTTTTCAAGGTGTTCCTATACCAAAATCCACCACACTGTTTCCAATACTCTCCTTAAAAATGAAATTAATCAGTTGGTAACAGCTTGCTGTTTGAATAAAGCTACTTCAAGTCCTTATTTCACATACCACCAAACATTTATAAAAAAGTAAGCTAAATCATTGCAAATTTCTATTCCATTCTCATTAAAACGCATGATTTTTTCTTGTATGCTATCTGGACCTGAAAATGCCTCAGTCTTAATTTCAGAGTCATATTAGACCTGTGAGCAAAATTTTACCATGAAGTTAGAGTGCTGACAATAAGCACACTTTTAGAAGAAAATACTGCATTGTATTGACAGTCTGACAGAGAGTCTAATCTTTCCACAAATATTTCAGTCCTAATCTGCATACTATCTAACTCCTTCCCTCCTCTACGTGGCTCAGATTCAACAAGGTACTTAAGCATGATGCTACCTTTAAATACACAAACAGTCCCATTGAAATTAATGGGAGTGCTCACCTGTCTAAACTTACGCATATGTTTAGCCCTGCTAAGCCTTTAGCCTGCATCAAAAAGTCGTCCCCTCTTCTAGGGAGTTTCCATGTTTGCCATAAGTTCTGATTTGGGAAAGCATTCCTATTTAGGAAGGGCAGTTAAACATGTGCTTAAATGTAAGTGTATACCTAAAGACTCAGTTAAGGTAGTGAGACAGAAATATGAGCTTAAATGCATTCCTGAATCAGAGCCCTTTCTCGAGGAATAATGAAGAAAACTAATTGTGAAAGTATCCTGCCATCTTGTTATCCTTGTCTTCAGTGCTATACTGTAATTTCTAATGGAACACATTTTTTGTAATTTTTGTCTAGTGAAAAGGCATTAGAAGAATTCACTGCAGTTGGCTGTAATATTCCTTGTACTTCAATGTCTAAGAACAATTTTAGCTTCTTTGTGCTTATTTTCTATTTCTTACACATGTCAGGATTACAGATTGTTTTAATTTTTATTAGTTCCATCCCTTTTGGCATTCATTACACTCTGCAAGTCTATTTAACCACAGTGGTTTCTTTTGCCTGTTAATCAATTTAGACGTATAAAAGGATAAAGTGGCAGGAGAGTCGGGTAGGTGAATGTGAAGAATGTTCCTTCAGGAAGAGCCACTAATTTTCACCTCATCCTTGTAACACAGCACCACCTTCTTTGGACATGGGAAGATAGGCAACTTTCTTTAAAGCTCACTAAAACTACTCTAAGGTCTTCCCTCCATTCAGGAAAACACTTATGTCTACACTACAGATAAGATCAAAGCAGCCACAGTCGATCTTCCAGGGTTCAAATTAGCGGGTCTAGTGAAGACATGCTATTTCAAACTGAGAGGGCAATCCCGTCAATGCCAGTCATCCTGGTTCTAAGAGGAGTAAGGGAAGTTGAAGGGAGAGTGTGCTCCCTTTGATTTACCGCAGTGTGGATGGCACCAAAATTGGAGTTACGATACTTTGACTTAAGCTACGCAATTAACATAGCTGACATTGCATATCTTAATTTGAATTTATCCCCCAGTGTAGACCAGGCCTTGAGCACTTGCTTAAATTTAAGCCCATGTTTAAGTTCTTCAATAGGACTTAAGCACAAGTTGAAAGTAAGCACGTGCACAGGTGCTTTGCTGAGTAGAAATGGACGTGCCTCGGTTTGCTGAAACTTGGCCTCTGTTTTGACCATACCATGGAGAATGGTGGAAATAGCTCAGGAGCACAATTAGCAGCCACGGTGGATTCAGCCCAGTAAAATTTCAGCCCTTTCAACATTTTATCCTATGTGCATATCCTCAGCAAATCTGCGTGTCTCAATTTTGTGCCCCAACTCTTTACATATTAATTTTTGGAGACGGGAGATGCTGGACTGTTCTGAAAACAATACAGGAGTTTTTAGCCTTCACCTCCTTTAAGTGTACAACATGCGAATACAGATGTATCTTTCATTGCATTCATATTGAAAATGCCTCCTCCATATAAAGTCCCAAACTGTAATTAATAGAAGTAGGATTATCCTGTATTGGCCTAACTGGCCCCATGGCATTTTAACATTGACTTCAACTGGAGCAG